CACAGCCCTGTAGAGGTTGTAGCTGTAGGAATCCTGAAAGGTCACGGTCGTAGCTGCTACAGTCCTGAAAGGTCAAGGTCGTAGCTGCTACAGTACTCGAAAGGCCAAGTCCACAGACTTCCGGAAGGTCCGGAAGTGGCCTTTCGAAGCTGCCTCACGTTTTAGTCAGAGGCAAGTGGGCAAGTGGTGAGCCCAGCTGCATTACGTCGGCAGTGCGACTGCATCGAGTTGGCAGTGCAAACCCATGCAGTCAGCGGTACCCGTCCAGTCAGTCCCAGTCCAGTCAAGCAAGTACCATGAGGGACTGTGTGCACCACAGGCCTGGTGGAGAGGGGCAGACCAACGAGTTACAGAAGTATAAATCAAGAGGCAGCGCCCAGCCATTCATTCATTCCTGCGTAAGCCATGCGGAAGCGCTGCCACAGCGACTTGTGCGAGGTGGTCTGCAGTGAGCCCGAAGACGAAGTGGGCGAGAAGGAAGCTTAGCCATAGCGATAGGGTAGCAGCGGCCATAGCCGCCCTAGCTGACAGGAGAGAGAGTAGCGTGTCTAAGTGTGCAAGTGTACAGTGTGTTGCGTGTGGGATATCCAGCGTGATCCTGTGTGCGAACAGCAGTGTCGAGGAAGTGACGAACAGAGAGTTCTAAAGGCGATGTGCCGCCATAGCCATTTGAAGTGAACTTGTATCTGAGCTGCGTTCTTGGTTACTATATCTCTAAGTTCTGAGTGGGCGCTTGACGCCAGTTTGCTGTGCAACCTGTATGCATGCATGTGAAGTGTGAATGAAAGCGAGTCTGATTGCAGATTTATGTATGTCATCCTTGTGCCGGGGCCTGCTAATCTTCTTTCTCTGTATCGTTCCAGTTTTAACTTTCAAGTTTCAACAGATGTCCCAAAAAACAATAGTGGGACACTGGAAAGGCGTGAACACTGGAAAGGCACGAACACTGGAAAAGGCTTCTAGATCCCATCCTTCAGGCATTTCTGACTGATTGCTGGATGGCTTCTAGATTCGAAAGTTCCAAATTTCAATGCAGTGTAATTTTTATTTTATTTTATTTTAAGTAACTTTTTTGTATTTACCTTTTTCTAATCACTGCTGGACCGCCGGTGCATTCACACATTTAGAGGTGGAGATAGAAGCAGGCCTCACCTGTGCTATGTTTGTGATAAGGAGGACTTTGTGCTAATCTGGTCAGGAAAAAAGGCTAGGTTCATGCACAGGCCTGACTGGTGCAATGTTCGCGCCAAGTGGCTCGGAAGCTGGCACACTGAGTATCCTCACTGGAATGCATCTTGTAGACTTATATAGAGTAGTACCCAAAGAAAAAAAAAAAAAAAAGGGGGTAACTTCAGTAGAGTCGCAAAAAGGAGTTATAATTGCACTATGGGGCAAGATACAGTTTGCAATTGCACTCCAGGCACCCTACCTGGCCAGAAAACTGGTTTGTATACGTTGCCCGAACTGCAATTG